CGGCGACAACGGCGACGACGACGACGATTACGATGTAACATTTCAGGTGTGGTATCACGTAGTGCTGCTGGAGACAAGCAGCTTCGAAGGCCTTGCCTCACAAGAGGCACAACGCAAATGTTCGTCAGAAATGCTTTTGGAATTCATTTGGCCGAGAGCACAGAAGACGCTTGTTCGTGAAAATTCCGGAGTGGCGGTACCCCAGCTTTCCTTGCGAAGTCACGAAACTGGCATGTCAAAACAGCACTAGAATCTGCAAGCAGAAGCTTCGTATGAAGCAAGCAGCGAATGAAAGCGCTTCCTTTGCGCTGTGAGCCGAAGACCTCACAATCATCATGACCAATCTCCGCCTCCCGCAAACAGTAGCAACCTGCCTGCACATCTTCTTTGCGAGGCAGAATTGTGCGATGCTTCAGCAACAGGTTGTCCTCATGAAGAGGCGGCACAAGTGTGAAGGGCAAAGGGAGGCTGCTCAAAGCGTCTGACAGCTCTGCTCCCTCAAGTCTCTCTCGCTCCTCGCCGCTATCCCTTGTGAAGAAAATCTGCGCATGTTGGCCCAGATTGTAGTGCAGCGAGGACGAGCCACATCTGTTGATGCCGATAATCTCAGTTTTTGCAGCAGAGACTGTTTGACTTGAAAATCCCACAACGGGACTGGACGGGATCTGAGGCACGGTCGGCAAAGTCTAGCGGGAGCTCCTTTGCAGTTGTAATATAAAAAGAAAACAACTGGCAAATCGAATTCTGTGCAGAAGTGCTCCTGCCAGAGAGCGAGTTCGTGAACCATGAGCACAGCATCAGAAGCTGCCTCAGTCAGTTTTCAAGCCACATGAATCATGAATCAGCAGTTCCCGGGCAAGCCGAGGCTCTCCTAACTTGGTGGTTGTTGTATTCAATCGCAGCATATGTCCAATGAAGCGCGGAACCTGAGGCTTTGCAAAATTAGCCATGGAAAAGAGAACATCACCGCACGTTCACAATACTTCACACATGCGTTTTCAGCTCCACCTGCCGCTACGCCGCCACCTCTGATGCAAGGTGCGGAGCTAAGCAAGAGGGCGGAGTGCAGAGGCCAAAGGGCATCAGGTGAGCCTCGATGAAAGGACAAAGAAAGGAAGCCTGAATCGTGGTCTCAAATCTTGACGCCAAGGGGCAAATGCTTCTCCTTCCTTTCCAAACTCGAAGCTCCAAGTCCAGTTCACAGATGCCAGGTACGCATACAGATTCAACCTTACATGGCCAAGGCACTCCCTCTCACCTGGCTACTGGGACTCCAACGGCCATGGCGCTCAACGTCCCAGTAGCGGCCTCCGCCTGCAAACATTCTCTGAGGGACCCACAGCACAGCAACTCTCGGCAACCAGCTTGCCTCATAGCTTGCCTCGGAGGGATCGGCAACGCAAAAGCTGTGCTTCTCCAGCATCCAGGACCCACCCGTGGACTTGTAGCGATGTGGCCTTGTCAGCATCACACCCATTCGCTCCGTTCCACCGTCTACACCAGCAGACGCACCAATTCCCGCCCCTTTCCACTTTCCACAGTAGTCTGGGCTCACAGCCAAGTTGGATCGCATGTGCGCTCCGCTCTCCCGCGCGAAGCTGGCGAATGCCGCACCTTACGAAGCTAAAGCTGCTGGCAAGCTGCTGGCCAGCCGCTAGCTCACCCTGCCAAATGTAGAAGGCTGCTAGGTTACCAGTGTTTCGAATCCGAATCCCAGATTGGCACCATATTCTGTGGCGCAACGTGTGTGTTGCCTGCGATCGGAAGAGCAAGTCTGAAGCAAAGGTCCTCCAACGAGCCATGCCTGACATCCTCATCGGCCAGCACTGAGAACAAGCACGCCGCTGGAAGGCAAGAGCTCGAAGCGAATCCCATCAGCAGACGGTGCCATGGCAAATCTTATGAAGGGCTGGCTACCTTCACATGCTGCCTTACCATGGACGAGATGAACTGGACCGAAGTGAGTTGGCGCCTTTCTTCCACCATAGCCAAATTGATGAACAGTTGCACGTACCTATGATTCCGCGCCCTGCCGCACTTTCCGATTCTGGCGTATGAGTTCCAGGAGGTGCCACAGTCTGCCACAGTGGTGATTCTTCGCTCATGAGATATATGCGTGACTCGATGACTTTGGCTTCGAGTTTGCTTCTTCCTAGTGCTTTTCCCCTCTTCATGGTAGTCACTTCGTTTTTGGGCCCAATGTCAAAAAGTTTCTTCCCTCTTGGCACGGTAAACCTGGAGACCAACGACACTTCGTGAGCAACGAACGAACAAAGCCAATGAATCTAGGGAAGCAACAGCTCCCTCTCCCAAATTGTTTTCTGCTGGCACATGCACCCAGCATGCGCTCGAAACACGATCCTTGAAGATCATCTCGCATGGAATTCATCCTACTGGCATGTTCATTTGCACTCTCGTTCCTGCAACTGCTGCTGGTGAACGATTCTCGGGCGACAAAATGTGTATCTGGATCCCTTCATTCTCTGATGCCATGGTTGAGTTCATGCGCGGCTCATAGACTGTGATAACCAAGGACAAAACAAAGCAGACAAAGGCGTATTTCGTGGCAGCAGATTCTCAAGGGCAGGATGTTACCTTGATGGCGATCAGCCTTATGCTCAAGAGACACGAACCTATCTTAGGCGGACATCGGCTCAAGATATCGTCGGCTGCTGATGACAAACTTCGCTACACTCAGGAGATTGTCCTGTTTCTCCCAAAACCCACTCAGTTTGGATTTGGGATTACATAGTTGATGCAGGCTAGGTTTGCAGCTCAAGCAGATCAGCAGGCCTCTGTAAAGTGTCATTGGAACAAAGACGACAAATTTGGGATGGTGGATGCAAGCTGGGGCTCTGCTCTCAGCCAGTAGCTTTCTGATCTTCTGTCGAAAGGTCGCAAAACAAGTCCTGTACGCAAGGCTGTACACGTGCATGCCTGCATCATGGAATATCCACCGCATCCGCATTCTCATGGAAATAAACTGTAAGTAGCTGTCCAAATACATGTAGATTGTTCTTCGCCATGATGCAAGTCTTGCGACAAGGAAGAGTGGCCAATACTTTCAAAGCAAGCCTAGGCGCCACATAGCGCTAGTGAACGCTAGCTACAGTAATACTTGCAATTTGTGGATTCTGCACACCACTGGCCAGAGGCTGTCGCAAAACGTCAAACGAATTGGGCCAAGCCTTTGCAACGTGAAAAAGACAAAGAAGCAGAAGCAAACGAAAGCAAGGGGCTGAAGTTGATCTGAGCCCCCTGCAAATGGCCTCAGCCGCGGTCCCTGTGCTTCCAAGCCTCAAAAGCTGTATCTACCAGTCTAAGTCATCTCAGCTGGAAGAACTGGGTCGCGTGCTGCCCAAGCATCATCACCACGACGAATGACGAGACACCCAACCTTGCTCTCACATCTCTCACTCGCACACGAGCCCTGGCTCAAATCCTGTTGGACCCAGCCTGCCGTGGAGTGCATTCCCTCGAAGGGTTTGCGCTTTGCTCCACGCCATGAGCGCCTGCGCAGAGATTAGTGCTAATGCTGAGGACAAGGATTTTGAGGCACGTCCCACCTCGCCACCCGGCGAGACAATTCATTTATAGCAGACGAGGCGCACCCTCAACAGGATGTTGCTCCAAAAACAAATCATGATGAAACTCTAGGAGCTTGGCTCAACCGCAGAGGGGCCATTGCCAATGGCAAGAGACCGTACCTTCACTGGCCAGCAGCTCTCTCACGTGCAAGCCATCTGGGCTGCCTGGCCTGCGGCACGGGTCCCATAGGCTGCCAGCCTCAGTTCTAAACGCGAACCGCTTGTGCCTCTATCGGCACAGCCAGTTTTCAAAGGGCTGTCGTGATTTGGCGCTCGTACAAGCGCCAGCTAAGCTGCGCACTCTGACGAAGGCTGGACGAGGGCACTATGAGAGCTTCAATCGCTATCCTGGCACCTGCCAAATGTCAAGAATCGTGCGAACTTTCTGCCGACCTGGTGGGTTGAGGGCAGTGCTCCACATCGCACTGGAGATAATCGTGGTCCTTAAGGGATAGGTCACTTGTCACTGGATTCGCGCAATCTGCACATGGGGAGGAAAGCATGCTCCTCTGCCGATGTGGAACACTCGGATGTCCCACTGCATGTGTAATCCGAAGACGTCACGTGGTATCCTGCAAGCCATTTAGAGGCGCTCCTGTACTGTGCCTCCAAATCCCCAGCCTCGGAAAGGCGCTGGAGGTCCCAAATCAAACTCCAGCAACAGCCTCATAGTCTCCGGGTGGCTCATGAGTCTGAGTTGGGGCTGAGTAGCCAACGCAGCATCGTTCAAGAGTGGGCACTTTCGAACAGAGATGACCTGGCCAAGAAGCATGGTGTAAGCAGCAAATCACGAATCTAAGACCAGCCTGAAATCCGAGTCGGAGGAACGAGCATGCCAGGCCTTCACCTGTTTTTGAGAAAGTTCTTCTCGAAAGCTCTCAGTTGATGCGCTCAAGTCTGTAGCTCAGGGTCCAGGCAGCTTGCATGTTCCGGGCTGAGTCCAATGATGATCTTGCAGGTACTGCAAGCCTGCAGCTTCCACTGGCAAACACAGTGACCAACGTGACCACGTTGCCCATGGCTAAGCCACAGACAAGGGCATGATCCTCCGTAAAACATATCCAGGAAACAAGAACTGAAGAAGGCAACAATGAAACAAACAAAAAATATCAACATTGCAGTGATTTAATCAATGAATGAATGAAAGCATGGATGAACGGAACGGCGAAATTGAAGGCATGAGAAAAGACAAAGGACAGAGAAACAATCGCAGGTCCAAGCAACGAAGAAGAAGGAGACATGCAAAATCAGCAAAATCAGAGAGGAACCAAAGGCCGCTGTCAGCGAGGTAACGAAAGAGAGAGCAAGGCAAGAAAGAAACACTAATGCCGAAAGAATTGGAAACATCGTACAGCCCTTCCATAATGCTTACCCATCACAGAGAGTCCCAAGCAGTAACCACTGAACCATAGCCTCTCGCCACTCAACTCTGACGCATGAATACACCCCCTGATCCACAGAGTAACAGCACGACACCCTAGACCCCAGAACCTCTACACTCTACCACATCAAAACCCTGACCCCGACAAAACCCAAGCCGTAAAGGCACAAAAGTCTGCAAAAGTCGAAGTGATGCAACCCCTACCCCCTAAAACGCTAAACTGTGCTCCAGTGTGGTTTTACTTGTTTCGGGGCTGAATGAGTTGATTTAGGGGTGCATTTCAATGCCAACAAACAATATAACATGAAATCAGTCGAAGCCTACCAAAGTCTGGAACACGCATCTCTGGAACAAGAGACAAGGCAGAATCAAAAGCTGGCTTGCACAGCCTGACTAGTCTAATCAAAGTGGTTGATCACTTTCTGGCTGAATCTCAAGATACTGCCAGGCATGGCACGAACATGCTCACATGGCACGTATGCTTCCCCAACGTGGAAACAAATCAGGGGCGGGCCTCTGCCAAGTCCAGGAGCGTCCGAATGGCGCTCATCGTTGCATCTGTGGTACCTGCCAACGCAGATAGACTTGACAAAAGGTGGAGCCTGATGCAAGTACGCCAAGTGGCTGCAACATAGTCAGTGAAACACAGTGTCACACAGCTGGATCAAGTAGCTATGATTATCAGGACTGCCTCCCTTCATTCTATGTACTGATGTTACCACAAGGGCAACTTCAACAACAGCCGCGATGCAAGTCTGCCTGGTTCCTCACCCTCTGAGCAAATCAGACTTGCATAAAGCAAGCTGCTTGCCACATCGCGGAGGCAGTCCTTGGAAGAAGTCCAGGCAGCCCAAGACTGTCTGCACTAAGAAAGGAGCTGAGCTCAGCAGCAAAACCAACCCCTGCGCTGACAGAGCCCTGCCAAGAACTGCACGCATGGCAATTGCACGTGCACTGCAGAGCTGGCGGTGCCGCCTTTTCAAACGACCAAAGCCTCACAGGCGTGGCTCGGAGTCCGAGCCGCTCTGGTAGTCTCGGGTCCCCTCCCCCACGCCTCATGAGATTAAACCTCTTCATGACTAGAGCGTTCAAAACAAACATTCATAGCGAATGACATGGCATTGCTGAAGCTTGGCTGAGCCACACCGAAGCGCGTGGGGGAGGGCAAAGACTGCCATCCTGTCCAGCTAGCAGGAAGTAAATTTGAAGACAAAGGATACCTACCGCCAGGACTGCATCAGCAACCCATCCCATCACCTCGTCCTCAGCGCCTTCGTCCTGAGAATCTCCATCTGCATTTGTTTGGCGTTGAACTTAGTCAAAGGGAGTCCTCGCCACAGACGGCGAAGCCAGCAGCCTGGAGGACCTCGTCGGCCTGCACGGGCTTGCCGAGCAAGTAACAACACACAAAACAACTTGCCACGCCTCTCCAGCCGCTGTCATAGGGAGTCAACCTCTACGCTTGGTAAAATAACGTCTTCCAACATGATACGAACATAGGAAACTCAATGCAACACTAAGCCGCGAACACATATCTCTCAGACCCCCAGCATTCACCTCAAAAAGCAATCGCAGATGCGCAAACGAAGCCATGTCTCAGCACTATGACTGCATCCTGATCAAGCACATAGGTGGCAAACGCGTTCGTAACGCAACATCGGTTCGATGAAACCTCTGACACCAAACGCAAAGGTTTCAGATGCTAATGGTGCCAAGGTCCCCGCCCTGGAGTGCGATGAGGGACACGAACTCGATTTACCTGACGATGCATCATGCGGCAACCCTTGCAACAAAGTTGTAATTCTACGTTGTGAAGCTGATCTCTCGGACAAGTTGCCACCAGTAAACCTCAGACACCACCAAAGCAACAAAAGCGGAAGGCTGCAAAAGCCTGACCTGAACTGACAAATTATGTGTATCAAACTCTGAGACGACGGCCAACACAAGGAAAGATTTGCCTTCCACTTGGAATCTGCGGGCCAAACAGCCATCAAACAGATGAAGTGGCCAAGTGCCGACAAAAACGCGAAATGTTGTCAAGCTCGTTTCAGAAGCATGGCTGAACCCGCATTGTTCCCTAGACGGACTTGCCAATGAATGCCAAAACATGCACGTGATTTCGCACATAAGACAATGATATGCACTAGAACGCATTGTTTCACAGCACAAAACGCCCGCGCCGGATAACACGCGAGGTAGCAATCGCCACCTTGGCATTTGAATAAACATGGCCAAGGCCAAGCGCAGTTCCATAGATTTTATTCATGCCTGCAGGATTTATACGCATGGTCCTGGAACCAAAAAGCAGGATCATGCTCAGAATCTGTATGGGCCTTTTTCATTATAAAAGAAACATGACGCTGATATGCGCGTGTGTCTGCATGTGCTCACTATGGCCTTGCGCAGGCAAAAGCACGCCCCGATGAGATGCAGATGAACTAGGCACAGGTTTTGCACGCACAAGCTTGGTAGGCTCTTTCTGTGTATGGTGGATCCAAATGAATCAGAAGCAATCTTACTGCCCAACGCGCTCTCAAACAGTAGGGCATTATCACAAGCACCAAAGAAAAGCCCGGAGCATTTCCTGTCATGGAATCCAGTTTTCAGGAAAACTTCATGCCTACTCGAAGCATCAGAATTTTTTCAAGAAAAAACGGGAAATGTTTCCTTTCCGATTTCAAAAGAATGTTGTCATTTCATTTAGTCCATACGCAACAACTCGATGTTGCCCAGTGTTTGTGGTCGGCATCTCCAGGTCGCCGGTACTCACAATAAAATCAAAATCCGTCAATTCACACGAAAGCATAACAACTGAAGTAACAGTCTTGTCCACGAGCATCCCGGAATCTACGCTTCCGAAGCATGTTCGCGTTTTATGGACCACCCTTTGCATCAGGGCGGGCACGCACGTATGGGAAAATTATGGGTAAAAAGGGCCCGTGGGCAATGGATTGGGAGTGAAGGTGCGGTTGCAGATTTTGAGATGTAGGATTCGCCCGAATAACAGAAATAATCAACACGTGGAACTGAAACCAGTGACCAATACTATAGTGTCACTCCAACTCTGATGATCATGTTCTGTGTACTGTACAGAGTGATGTCAATCTTTTGAAGAACCTCGACACACCCATAGCAGAACCGGGACGCATGACAATAAGCATTATTCGATGTAGTGTAAACAATGGGGATTGAATTTGAGACGTTGAATGAAATTAAAAGGTGTCATATGGTTAATTTCCACTTATCTCTCATGTTTTCGGGAAGGCACTCCAGAAATTAAAAAACAAATATAAAATTAATTCCCAACAAACATCCGCACGAAATACTGAGGATCCAAACAAATCACTCATCTCACGCATATCTGCATGCACTCCTCCTCTTTTTCACCGTGATGGACTAGCTTCAGTAACCGGAGGTGGGGAGCACGCCTCCCGCTCAGGAAGTACTTTCTTACCGCCACGATTCTTCGAGCACGTACGCCGCCCCCAGTCTGGTGAAACTGTTCTGCGGGCTTGCACTGCTCCTA